ACTTACCAAGTCAGCAACTACTGTTGTTCATGGTAGATGGCGCAGGTTGAGATGAAAGTGCAATTGCATTATTAAATAGTGACTCTATAGATAAAAAAAAAACTTTTCTTGTATTTACGGTAATTATCTTATAACATGGATTCAAAAACCGCAACTAGAGATCATTAGTTATGATCGGAAAACCTGCACCGGGTTTTTACGCATATCTTCGTTTAACACTGGTGGATGGTTTTGATGTGTTGAGTCCAATATAATGAAACTATAGACCAGAAAGGTAGAAACCTGTCAACAACCTGAAATATCACGTTTAAGTATTAGTAACAGCATATTCATCTTAGGTTAGTACCCGATTAAACAATCTGCTACATCTGCATTATTTAGAAAAAAGTAATTAGTTGGAGGTAGCACTTAAAGTGCTGGATCCGTGTGAATTCTAGCGCAAACTGTGACAGTCATTCCAATATCAATTTGGTTAATTATCAACCTGTTCTAGAGTTATTCTGCCTCGCAAAGTCCCCATAATTTGGCTTGAAAAAGTTAATAATTGACACAGCTGCACATTGATTAGTGTGAGACGTAGGCGGAGCCTGCAACGCAAGTGCAGTAAGGCAGTGTGGAGTGTTTAATTATAACCGACAGACTACACACAGTTGGCTTGTATTAATACAGTATGCTCACCTAGCAGTATTGCACAGAATATGAAAAAAATACGTTAATACATAATGAGACGTGACAAAGCTTTACCAGTGCCCTTCACCCTACAATTTAATTAAAAAATGTTTATTTTTCTCTCTATACGCTTACTCTATTACAACGTGATTCACACAGATGTTAAGAAAATCAGATTTAGAGTTGCCTATAACAAAGATGAAAAGACATTTATTCCCTTAATGGCACTTCAACATCCTTAAAACTATATGTAAATAGTTCCTATAGGTCATCGAAAGACGCGTAAAATCTTAACGCTGCGGGAACTAAAAACCTTGTAATTGAATATAAATGCGGATCTTAATATGCTGGAAGTAGAGAACGCCACACAATGGCAGTTGACTGCAACCCTTAACAAGTCTGTGACCTTCCAGTCATGGAAAGAATTGGCAGCTACATTGGGAACAACAATTAATCCTCCATGATGTCAGATGGAAATTAGTTCACGATTTCTCTGTGGTGATGCATCTTCAGCTAAAATGTCTACTTTCAATCCTGATAATAAATAATGAAAATAACACTGCATTTCTGTAAATTGACCATTTGGGAACTTTCCCGAAGCAAGTTACGAAAATTTGTTTTACACTCCTGTGCTGGTATTAAATTATATTTGGTGACCTGCCTCTGCCTTTACTTGGGCTTCGTTGGCAATGTTTCTCACACACAAAAGATATATCGCTCAGCATGCAAATAAGGGGGTATGTTTAAAGGCCTTTTTTGTTAACGAACAGAAGGAATGATATGTTGAAGAATTGATTATTGGTGATTTGTCTTAGTAGTCGGTTATAAATCACCAAGATAATATGATATCCGAGTTTGACACCAGGCGTTTATTGATTAAAAGGTATTACAATGTCTGTTTACAAAAAAAGACGCAAATGGCATGAGTCCAAAAAAATATTATGCTAGTATTAAAAACGCAAAATTAATAACGTCTTTTCCATCCTAGATTCGATATTTAAGCAGTCAAATAGTAGATACCAAATCTTTGGTATAGGCATTAAGATCAAACAGAATGTCTCACTGCGTAAATAGACCAAAAAGGTTATGTAAAAATTGCATTTCATTTTAAAGAAAAGTTATGCACTCTACTTACACGCCTTTTTAGTGCGCTTGCAAATCAATAGGCGTTTAACCTCTTTAGCAATACAACCACAGAAAGAGCGGTAAAATTTGGGTATTTTTTTGGCTCTAAGTAGGTTGAATAAACGCAAATACCAAAAATCCCACCGTTCAGGCAATCCACATGTTACATTAGTCCCAAATAATCTTCGTCTGATTGTTTTTTAAAAAAAACGTTTTTTAATTTTTCAAGAAGTATTTTGTGCATTTAGCCATTTTAATGTTTAAAACAACATTAAAGAAATTATTACTGCTGTTACTAAAGTTATAAATTTGCATTTGATGACGATCTTGCAAGGCATGTTCCGGCCTTTGACTGATTTGTAAATGTTGTTACACATCAATCAGTTGGCAAATATTAGAATGATCATATAAAAATTTGTCTGCATTTTATATGCTAATTAAGGTTAAATATCGGTGTATACAAAAATTCATTGTTATTACTTAGTAGCAGTTTAGTTTACTTTAGTGGTTCATTTATTGACATGGCCGATCATATCACGGAGAATGCGTCTTAAACTGTCATGATGCTCACGCTTTGACTGAACGGAAATTTTTTTTTTGTAGAGTAATGTGTATGCATTTGCAAAGCTACGTGATATTCCGCTTGGCCTGATATCTCTGAGGCAAAAATCTTTCTTCCTACACACCTGTTTTGGGTAGTGTTGATGCGTGCTCATTACTGCTGTTACTGCATTTTGCGTCCCACTACCATGAACAATAGTCTACTCACGAATTTATGTTTGTTTAACTTCCCTCTTTCGACTTCACTAATTCACAAGTTAATCCTAAGTAGTTTGGTTGACAGCAACCTATGAATTTGAACACATGACTTTAGGAAATTGATTGAACTATCATGTAAATGGGTGCATTCCTTATTTTTAGTCTTTTTAATTTGTCAGAGTGCCTGACTTGAATTAGCAAGTGGAGTTATGGATTGCAAATTTACCCTAATTTTAAGTAAATAAATATTTTTACACCTGAAGAAAATTGTGACACTAAACGGTAATTGTGAAGTGCTGGATGTCAAATTAATGTTAAAGTAGACGAAATTTCAAAATTTGGAGATTAAATTACAGGCAATGAATCCAATTCATTTTTTTTTGTCAGTAGATGGTTTTGGCGTGAAACAAAAACAATGCAAGACTAAGCATTGAAAATTTTAAATATTGTACAAATTTTGAAGCAAGTACAGCCTTTTATTGTAGCAAAAATGTTACAAGTTAAAGGATTATACAAGACTGAGATTAAGTCCTTTTCAAGTCTAGTCAAAAGATACAGGTTTGTGCAGCCGTGCTGACAGAACCCGACGATTATTCTTGTCAAGGTATTAAAAAATTATAAACGTTGGCCAAATAATCTGCTGCCTAAATAAGCAAAAAAGAAACAAAAGGAATGAACGAAGCGCAAAAGAACACACTGTTCTTTAAAATATTTCACTGAAGTCACCTGTTGTGAGTATAGAGAGAGCTGTGATAAATAAAAAAATGAACATGAACTAAATCTGAATAATTTCAATTATATTGTCGGGCCTGAAATTACCTCTTTGTTATTGCTATCAGTGTTTAATTATGACTCAAACATAGGTAAGTGTCTAAACTGTATACGACGGTACTCATAATTTAATTAATGAGCTATCTTTTCAGAATGGCACTTAACATTTGTGTAAAGCAATCACATTATCCAATCTACTTCCTTTTGACCAAACGTCAAGGAGGATATAAACATCGTTTTATTACTTTCGTTAAATCAGTAGTTTGGATTAATTACCACCTAGGGGTGGGAAAATATAAGTTAAAGTAATTATCTCCAGTAGCTAGCTCTTAGTTGACATGACAACGATGAACTGACACAAGACAAAATTAATATTTTGTCTAAAAGACTCGCACAAGCGAATTAGACTAGTGATGCAAATTTTGAGCCACTTCCGTTACAGGGAGCACTCGTCTTTGATTTTATCTCAAAACACCATCTCTGCAATTAAAACCTGCACACCATAACCAGCAAATTAGTATGAAATTCTTTTTACTATGGAATTCAAGGGTGTTATGAATTTAATTCCCCACTATAGAAAAATTGGCAGAATATAACTTTCTTTAGCAGACATTTCACCACCGAAAACAATTTAAATTCGCATTGGTTTTAGTCAGCATGAAAATGATAGTTCTAATAAATTAGCTTAAATAGAACTCTTTTTAAATTTTTTTACTGCTAAAGAGAACTTATTTATTCATTATGAGACATTTGCTTAATAAAAGGACGAGTGGTGGTTGTGGCTCAAAAATATCCATCGATGCAGATTTACTAGCCACCTGATTTACAAACAATTTTTGTCTGTAGGCAAGGCCTCTCATTTGATGCATGCTATAAATTAGCACACATGAATGTGCACTAGAAGTGTGCAGGATGCTAATGCAGTTGTCACAGAAGGTTCCAACAATTATTTATGTTTCTCCAATATCATCGTATGTACTGAGTGAACATAACTTGCCCAAAAAATGAATTTTCCGTGAAGAGCCTTTTCTTCCTTACGGAATAATTAAATACCCAGTCATAAATAATTGGGATTGACAAATACGTTCGAAATATTATGCATACATTGAAACCGACTAAACGTTTTGTGTGTAAAACTACGTTAAAAGTTGAATTAGAAATACTTTGTTTGAATGGGATATGATTGAATAGAATAAGTTGTTGTCCTGGGAACCCAAGAGAAAAAATATATTATAAACTCAACAAATGGCATAATCAACTGGCAGATGTTAACCAGCTATAAAATCTACCCATAGAAATATATTTATCTTTTCAAATTAAATTTAAATTTTATTCTACTTTTAGGAAGCACTAGATTGCCTATCAGATTCATGCCATCTGAGTGAGCTTCGTCAGCGGACCTCAAGCTGGCTCTTTTTCGTACGTATAAAAGAAACACTTGTTTTATGATTATATCGGCACACCAATCGTTAAACTTTCTCTAATGTATCTGAAATTAAGCTAATTTGATTAAAGCGCAGAAGAAGAACCATGCATAAGAAAAGTATTCGGTACATAGGACATTACATGTATTTGGAAACAAATTTACCTAGGAAATTAATTTTTATGATGTAGCAAATAACAGAAACTGCAGCAACTGAATGCCCGTTCCATGAAAGCAGTTCAACTGCGGGGGCTTACATGATGATATACGTCAGAAGCATTACGATATTTAGAATTCCGAACATCGGCAGTCTAGCTGAACTCGAGTCACTCGGGTAACACTGCTTGCGAACACATATAAAATCTTCAGGACAGTCGCTGCAGCTCTCTCCTTGTTCGTAGGGTCGATCATTGTCTAGATCGCCACTAAAATGAAATAAAATTCATCAGATAAATAAACAAAATGATAAGAAATTTAGGTCAAAGTAACATCAATTTCATAAATTAATAGGAAACTAGGCGGTAGCCAATTCATTTATCTATTAATTTTGTTTTAGTGCTAAATAATAAGTATAAATGCTAACAGATTAAGTACGAATTGCATGCATGGTTCTGTAAAGCCTTACCTGAACCAGTAAAGACACGCAACAAAATCTTCGAAGTAATTGTCGAATTGGCATGTGTGTTTGGCGCAACCTATGATTTCAGATGTTGCCCATATCATCTTAAAATCAAGCATAACAAATAGTATGTATCAATCACGTTGCGAAATTCTTATTTTATCCATTGGTTTTACTTGTATCTTTAGCGTGTATGGTTCCATTTTTAACAAATGACTGGTTAATTTAATGACTGCAGTATTAAATCTAATTAAAAAAATTACTAATCTCAAAATAAATTTCCGACACCTTGTAACATAGTAGGGAATAGAAATTGTTCTCTTCTTTTTACTACTATTAATTAAATAGCAGCCTAATATTATGCTGACCAGGTAAGCCAATATGGCCAAGTTTTCCCATTTTCCCTAATAAACGCACACATCCGATTATCATTTTACCAAATATTAGAAAAAAAATTTGTTTCCGTATTTGAAATGAAATCAAAAATTGTTTTGCACACCTGTTTATAATCCTTACACGTGGATGAAAAACAATCATTCGTGGCAAAGTTGTAATAGTCTTTCTGAGTTACGAGATTCTTGAGATCTGCGAAGGAATAAGCCTTATTTTTAACAATCGGAAGCATAGTGTAGTTAAGGTCTTTATATTCCGGGACAATGTCTGTATCTGGAAATTCATCAGTACAAGATATCAGCCACTTCTCTGACAATTTTGCAAGTTGTTCAGAGTAACCCTAAAGAGACAAAAAGGTACTTAATAATAAGTGACATCCATAGTAAATGGTGAAGAATTTCTGCCAGACCCTGTTGCTGCCGACCGTTTTAAGTCGACAAATATTTAAATACAGCTGAGCTCGTGAAGTCAGTTCAAACATACTGTACAAAGCTGAATTAACGTACAATTATCATCATGTTTTTTGCTGGTGGATCGACTGCCTCCCGCAATTTTAAATGAAGTTGCAAAATTTCGTCGATTTCATTATCATTTGGCATTATGGCTGCCGCGTTCCAAGTCAGCAACAACACACAAATAATCTTCTGCATCATTTCTGATTTACAATATGCTAATCCGCGGGAAAAGGTATGATGGTTCCCTTCTAAAACGTAAATTCCTACTGTCAAAGAGACAGTTTGGTTTATCGGAAATGATTTGATATTGTAAAGTATTTATGCATAAGCCTTGTGGGAAAATGCAGTGAGTGATGCACCAAGGCATGAGCAGATCTCCTCAGCTCACACATGATGGCCTCAATTGCGCTAAACTAGCCTAGTCGCCATTGGCTAAATGAAATCCACTTAGAAGTATCAAATTTGCTCGGGGTTATTATGGGTTGGAGGAATGAACGCAGTTTACTTAAATGCATGCACCGGATTACAAAGGGGTTTGTATACCTATAAATTAAAAAAGAGGCGAGTTCCTTGTTCACTGTCTTTACAGCACTTTGTGCGTGGAGGTTCTAAGTAAATGCTGCAGCAGTGTCATGTGTTTGTATGCATTTAACAAGAATTCGCACATGTATACACAAGCCAAGCATGTTCAAGTCTAAAGTGTTTTAAAACATCTTCAAATAAACAAGGACAAACTCTGGACTCAAATAATGCTGAGAGTCATTATAGCACCTGCTGCGTAATTGCTTTATTATTGACTAACTAGAATATCTACTCGTGTCTTTCCATACTAAATTTACGTCATTAAATAATAAATTACCTAAACTGCCTAGTCTTATGGAAGAATCTTTTGAAGCATTCTCTATCATTTATATTATTGGTAAAGTAGACCTGATCAAAGAAGAGCGAAAAAAAATTTTATGCAATGATTTACTAGATGTTGAAAATATAATTGTTTGTAAAGCTCCTGTCAGCGTATTGAGCAAATCTAAGCCTGACTTACTATTAAACTTAAAACATTTTCAACAAAATTGGACAGCTAGTTGAAACATTTGTAACACCACTAAATAACGAATAAAAAAATTGACTTTGAATTCAATAAAATGAAAATATTTAAACTCTTTCCTAAGTAAATGCGTCATAAGCCAACAAATATAATAGTATTGTGGTAAATTGTACTCTGGTGCTAAAAGGTTGTTGAGCTTGGCCAACAACAGGTACAGACGTGCTAAGCATGTTGCCAAATTTCTTTTGCATATTCTGGGTGTCACTTTTAATTTCGAAGTTTAAATGAACAGTTTTGTATTTAATTCAATGATAACTTGCCTTTTTAACGAAGTATTTAAAAAAAAATTAAAGCCGTTCATGATGTTACAGTAGAGTCTGGAATTATCAATACCCACCGAGGTTACTTTGCCAACTTCGGCTGTCAACAATGCCACCGGATGCATAAATTAAGGAACGTGATTTAATGTGCCATTTACATCATCGTTCCTCAGATAGATCAAATGTATTTGGACATCATGTATCAAATTTCGTATGCACAATCATTGAATTCGCATTTTGCTCATGTAAGCATATTGTTATGGATTATATTTTTGGCATGTTAAATTTTATTTAAGCATATAAATACAACACCACAAACATTTTAGAAAAGAACTTTAGTAAAAATATGTTATTTACAAAATAAAGAATTTTAGGATAGCAAAAAATTGCAATTTGTGGGGTTGGTTACATGTAATTTGATTTAAATTGCAGTGAATAAAGTAAAATATTTGGATGCGTTCTGGGTCAAATAATGCGAAGGTTTGTAGTAGATGAAACCTAGTCTCTTCTTTTCAATAAGCAATAAGAACTTTTTTTTAAAACGGGCTGCACACAATTTCTCACGTAAAATAGGTTTAAGACAACCGTCGCCTATACTCATTTTGGTAGAGGGCACTTTGCTAGTAGGCCACAGCAACATGATTCATTTAGCGCTATCTGAATATTACGCCAGACCAAAGAGCAGGTTCCTGGAACTTTACTTACATCACTTTCGTGTCGATTTGAGTCATACAAATTAAAGCCTGGGAACCTTCATGCACGTTTCCATTAACTTTTAGTAATAGTAAGAATAATTACGCCGTTAATTGCTTGCCACATGAAAGCAGTACATCAAATGCCGCATATACTGGAGTTGGCACATAATTAAATGGCAACATTAAGAGCGAACCCAGTGCTCATTATGTCCGCACATCGATTAATTACTTGCCAATACGTTCCCATTAAAAGATGTCACGTTTCAATGTAATTAATAGTAATTCATTTTAAGCTTTCAATAAGTTAAAACAGATTGCTGCATCTTCATATTTTTGGCAATTTCAATTTGTTGGATGCAATTGTAGTGATGAATCTTTTAGCTGTGTTGATTTCGACCTTAGTAATTATTTGCACAGCAGACAGATCCGTAATTAAAAAAAAGTAGTGAAACTGCGAGCTCGACTTGCGAAGAAACCTAGCGGCTAAGTTATGGGTCACTTAAAACGGCTGTTCCTTTGTGTTTCCCTTATATAAAGAGATCCAGAAACTTCTATATTTGGTTCAAAACCTGTTAATCGAACACAACTGAAGTCATGGCATTTTTAAGCAATTGATTTGGTACTTTGTACAAATGCATTTTTTGAATGTCTACATTATTCAGGTCAAATAGTGCCGTGTGCAGTACTGGATTATGCCCCACGAAACAGGTATTTAAACCACTGTCGATTACTGGTTTATGCATTCTTTGTTAGCAACACAAAACCTCAGATGTACCTTACTACTGATTTCCAGCCCACTGAGCCACTGACTAACTTACGATTGCAGCACACTTATCCTACGCCTTAGCTGAAAACTTTATTGTCTTCCACAAACACGAAAGGATAAAAAATGACTCAAGGCAAGACCAATGAATGTGATCGATTTTGAACAAAACTGTATTAAAATGCATATTAGTAGATAGCAACCAGCCTGAAAAGTAAGCACGCTCACTTAAAGTGCGGAATACATTTCCAGACTGCTGTAGAATCAGGCACCTTTGCAAAATATTGAAGGATATCAAGGCTGTTGGTGTCTGTATTTAGTTGAGACACTTGTGGTTTAATGATTATGTGCTAGCATTGTATAATTTGCTTATTCACTTGATTAAAGACCAGGCGTTCATCTTTGATATTAGGCCCTTTTTCTCTTGGTTATGTGTTTGTATTGAAATCTATCACATGATCATAATCATCCATTTACGACGTGCATTGCGAGTGGTATTCTGTGGAATTTCACGCATTCCATACCAAACTGGTGTTATCAGGGTTGACAAAGTACCTACCACAGCATGTCCGCGTATTCTCTTTGCCTCTCTACGTTATGTGAAAATTTTGTTATATGCAAGAATTCGTTAGGAAATTTTTCTATGTCGACAGGTTAATAGTGTGGTGCTAGTGACGAGGATACACTGCATTGTGGATATTTACATAATAACACATTTTGCATATATGGGCGATTTTTGCCAGTTGTGTTTTAAATCTAGTTTTTTGCATTTGCTCTTTTCCTTGCTGGCACTTTGGTGTTTAATATTAGTGCACTTGTGCATTCTATACAGATCCGTTACATGTGAGGAGATTTAAGTGAGTTTTTTATTAAAGAAACTAACGTATGTGGCATTTCTCCATATCCAGCTGCTAGGAATCAATGGATTATTTTTTCTGGCACTGCAGAAACCTGAAGCATTGTTTTGTCGACACATGAATACAATCAAGGCAACATGACGATATTCAGATACGCATAATATTTATTCTACACCTAAGTGTGGCCACTATATTCCTCCACACTTCTGCACCTAGTTTAGACGGTGAAACAACGATGATGGGAGGACGAATTAATCAACCTGTGATATTTTTCGAGGTTGGGATACGGCCTTTTCTGATCACACTAAATAGTGTATGCATGCATACTAAATATAGTATGTTACAGACTCCTTTTTGCTTCTTTAATATATATACCTAGTAAAGATAAGTGAAGATTTTTCCATGCAGGCTTTTATTTTGAGATTTCATGGCAACACTGATTGCGCTTTACAACATTTAGAATATAACCCTTCTCAAACTGACGCAGTTTGTGTTTTTTACTAGGGAATCAACGATAAGACTTTATGCATTTTACTGATTTTCGAAGGCTTATGTGTGCATGCAGACTTAAAAACGACGGATGTTCCCTTTAAAACCTGAACAACTGTGTGGCGTAATCGAATTACAAGTAAATAGGCATGATTCAATTAATGTTTTTGAGAAGGATAAATTGATCCAGCACTGCCCTGACAAACAAGACACTTAAAACACTCTCAAGGTTAGAAAATAACGCGTACTAAAAAAACAAGAGTAGAACGATTTATAGAGTATCAAAATAATGGCGTCAAATATGAAGTCAAGCATAAACGCACGACGCTTGCGGTGAATTCTACTAACGAATACAAATAGCAAGCGCGTGTTTTTCTTAGTAGATTTAGTTAAGACGTTTTCCTGGTATTTCTAGTAAGGCTATAACAACTGTTTTGAGCTTATTTGAGGAAAGCAAATTATAAGTTCTAGCTTTTAATAAGAAAGAAGTTTGTATTTGCAACTGTTTTTGTTTCACTAAGACCACGTTTCTCATCTATTTGGTCTATTAACCCCTACAGGAATGTCCTCACGACAAGCACGAATTCAGTTGGCTTTGCTCACTTCTCCTCATGTATTTGTCCGCGTCGATGGTGTCAAATAACCTTTGCAACCACCCCGTCATGCCTCCTTTAATTTGCTAGAAGGCGTCAAAATTTTTTCACAATTCACAATAGTGAAGCTTTGAATACTGTGAGAGTAGATACTTGCCCGCCCACTGTTGTCTATTTATTAAAGTTTTGACAAATATGTCATAGATGGTGTCTAAAAATGACATGCATGTGACGTTTTAAGCACATTTGAGCATCTGATACAAATCCACACGAATAGGAGGTTGCTATGACATTGGTCAATTTGGTCACCTAATATCAACAAGTATATCCATGATATTTTTAAAACAGCGGTCACTTTCAGCTTCTGAACTAGCGAATTCTTCGACACTTAGTTGTTCATTGTGTGATCTTGAACAGCGATTGGCCTGTCAGCTTAAAGCACACGTTTCGTAATTTTGTAATACAAAATAAATGGCTAAAAACCATTGATTTTTGGATAAAATAACACAGGCCAACTCATATCCTGTGAGTCTAAGCTCGATGTTTTGCATCGCATTCAAAACCTTTGAATAGGTTTTTAAATTCCAGATTGCTTAAAGGCTATTTAAATGGTTGACAAAAAATTTTCTTCTCTTTGATTTTATTTCGCAAATTAGAACATTTAGTGAGGCAACACAATGCGTCGTACATAGCTATCGAAATGCGAAACAGTAGTTATGCCGATTTATTATTGATTCAAAGAATAAACTCCGGAAAGTATTCGATGCGTCCTAACTGTCTGTGAACCTAAATGTCTTACACGTTAGTTAATACTCGCAGCCTGTTTTTGTCTGTTAGTGGAGGTATTCAGAAGGAAACTCAAGGCAGTATTTTAACGCAGTTTAATTGTGTAAATTTTGCCGCATGACACTGATGAAAACCCGCATTGTTAAACAGTAGGAACTCAAGTGATCCATGAGTGTCCTAATACCATTGTAGTGGACTGCCAGCCGCCCCGCACGAGTGTGCATGCATGAGGGCCCGTGTGTACCGATGACTCATCCCCTTTTGTTATTGATTTTTGTCAGCATTCGCCTGTTACGTACGCGTACTCATACGCCCACAGAGCCACTTGGCTGGTTTGACGGTAATAAACCAGTCGTGTCCGCTCTCGCCTCTTCCCCACTCTACTCGAGTTGTCTTGGGCTGTTAATTAGAGGCTTGTAAGGTAGTGCTAAGATCAAGCTCCTACACCATCGGTTACGCCAACTTGGAGTTTTTTGCGTCACTAATGAAAGATGTTTTGTGACAAGATTTAAATATCGGTCATAGATGGCGTGAAATATGTTCTCCAAGTTAACATGATGGTCTATTACTACATTCGAAAGCATAAGGACGCCGTCGCATGCTGGATGTTAAAATTGTGAAGTGGAATCGCAATTAATTCCCCGATAAGAAGACCGTAAGTTACGCTATGCAAGGACCATTGAAGTAATGTTTTAAATGCATGCATAGTATAGAGTAACGTTAGGTCAAATATTTACTTACGAAGAAGTAATTATTAAGTGGTTAGAGCGATTTTATGGTCCATGGTCACAACATCGCAACCATATACCTTTGAGGAAAAAAATGTAGATGGTAACATGAAGGACAAGCATACTCTCAAGACCCGACTTCGACATTGAATGCAAGCAATCAACAAAAAAATGCAAGTCACAGCAGAATCCCCAATTTACTGGCTTAGACAACTGCGATAAACTGGAGGAAGTCGTTTTCTAATTCTTTATAAGAACATTTGGGAAAACTGTTTATTTCTTTGTTAATGAGGTGAAGGTAAATTCGACGTTTTTTAGAACAAAAGTCTAAACACGCATATCGTTTGTTGCTTACAACGCCTCGTAAACATATGCTGTTAAGAAATGCGTTCTTTTGACAATTGACTAAGTGCCTTTTCCATGTAGGATAAGTCCGTTCAAGGCATATATTATGATCACGTTTAAAATGTTAACTGGCATTACCTGAGTTAATTGTGGCTATCTCTACAATGCATCTGTTGATTTGAAGTTTATGTGGAATTTTTGTTCTGGTTCTAAAAATATGGCGGTTGGTCGTCCATCCCAAGCGAACTGGATTGTACCCACGAAAGTTTGTTTTTTGACATCAGCATAGATACAAGATTTTTTCGTTGTCGACATTTTTTCATCAAACTCAAATTACGTTTAATACGTGTTACAGTTCTATAGTTCTTTCTATAAAAGTGGCTTCAATACACTAGCAGAAAAAACACGTTCCAAAAGAAAAATTGGATCACGCAAATTTTCTCGTACAACACATTGATATAAGCCTTCACCCGTTGTCTGCTAACACACACTCATGTGAACGTGGCCTAGAGACATAGCACGGTGTTTTGTAATGCATAGTGAAATTTATACCCCGAATTTTACTGAAAATGACTATTTGTGTTACTAAGCTAGGACGCAGACAACATGTGCAATAAAATGGGCTACAATATTTGCCATAACCGTTTTGTATTAAAACACTGGCTTTGAAATAAAAGAGACAGGTAATTGCAGGAATTAGAAACAAACATTAGGCCATCTTTTTATCCTTCTTTACATATTTCTAGGTGGAAACCTTTATAGCTGTTTGATTTCAAGAAGTTCAGCACATAACAAATGGAGAAAATCGTTTTATGGGAACTAGATGCAGAATTGCCATATCTATTTTTTTCGGCGTGTGTTGTATATTAATATAGAGCAATATATTAAGGTTGCCAGTACACGGTAACTGTATTAATAATTTAGGAATAGTAAGCACATTGCTTGAGTTATGCCTGTTTTAGAATCCTTTCATTCAGTGGTACAGCTTCTTTAAGTGTACCGGAAGGCTATTTCATTTACTTTAAGTGACCATTTAAAATGATCTACTGATTAGGCTTTGCATTTTTCTCATTTGCTTTTAAAAATACTCTAATGCTATTTCGATAACCACGTACTTGACGCCTTAAAAGAAACCCTGATTTGTTAACGCCGTCTAAATTAAGCATCTTCACAAACAAAATTGTCGCACCCTACTGAGCGTCTGTAAAGGATCCCTGTTACCACCCTTCAAATCTTCGTGTCGCGGGTAGAAGAGGAAATGTCACGTGAGGCCTTAAGTCAAAGTGAAACAAAACTTGCCGTTATTGGTCAAAATGGATACGAGGTTTGTGGTCAATATTAAATACAAGGATTTGAGGTATTTATTCCTAAGCTCCGTGGAACTTAAACGAACCTTTGCCAACCATGCTATTCAAGTATATGTCGCAGTATATATTATCGTGGTGGCAAAAACAATATTGCATTTGTACCAATGGTGCCATCATTCCAATGTGATAGCTCTACCGGTTTTTTGATGTCGGGTTGGTGTCTTCGATCAGATGAGTAGTATTCAAAGCATGAGATTGTTGCTAAAGCATCCTTTAGCAAAAATGATGAAACCTAACGTCGATAATAAACCATTTTTGCTAATGATTTCCTTTAACACAATTGGGTGTCCTCGTGATGCGGTCTGTATTAGTTGATGTTCTTGTATCAGGACGAATCAATGTTAATTTATATGGTGCTCATCACAGTGATTTATTCAACCCGCCAGTAAACTTAACGGGACCTTTCTTCAAACACAAAATCAAGTTTCATTTGCGAGTCCGTATTTGGCTTGTATGTAAAAAGATATTTCGATGATACAACAAACCACTACATGAGGTTGTTAGTATATTAAGCATTGACTCTGATAACTATCATACATTAAAATTAGTCAATATACTTCAACTATAGCTATGTCTTGCATCCTGATAGTTGTAATTTATAATTTGAAGTATTGGTTTGTTTATTAAATTTGCCGAAAAATAAAAATAGTTAATAAAATTATGAAAAAAACGTGGGCAGTAAACCGATACTTATTTCAATTTCGAACACTTCGTTGACTAAAGATCTAGATAATTTCTTCAACAGAAAAACATGTCTCAATAAAATAAATGCGACGCGATGTTGATTATATTTCAAATTCGGGCCAGGTCAATATTTGTGCAAAAATGACGACATCTGCCGACGTTATGCATTAATTTTGGATGCAGTGCATAACAGATTGTGGATTGTGATGGAGACTTTAAGGGCAGCTTCTGATGCCATAATTAACATCCAAGAACGCTCTTGACTGCCGACAAGGACGACAATCATCGATAGTAAATGCGATACTGTTTCATATTCAGGACATTGTAACTAACCCCATAAGATAAACCATGTAGACACCAACGCGATAGACAGGCATACTCTCAAGATCAAACTTTCACATCATTATGCTGTTGAAAGAAAAAAAATTCAAAAGCGAATTTAAATGAACAAATGACCTAATTGAAGCTGTCTACTAATCCCATTTTTTATTATTTAGCCTTCCCTGTGTTTACTTCGTGTTACACAAAAGCATGTTTCTACAGCTTTTCGTTTGAAACCATTTTTGATATACTCATGAGTAAACACGTTTTAAAAGGATAATTAGACCACGTAAATTGTCGTCGTATTTGTTTCACTTGCAACAGATCAAGATGAAAATTTAAACTTATGTGAACACGGCCTAGATTCATTGCACGATGTTTTGTAATAAATGATGAAATGTATATGCCGATTTTCACAGATGCTACCATTGTTTGGTAATAATCCAGGATGCAGGCAACATGCAGCAAACACGTGTGGCTGCTTTGCAATAACAAGAATAACACAATTTGCAAATTCAGGCTGCATAGAATCGCATCATTTTGCACCGCCAAGAAAGGTGTTTAAGGCAAAATGAATTAAGCATGGTCAGGCACATGCCTTGAAAGGCATTGTACTGTTATTTAGCAGTTAACGTTGGCCTGTGACTACAATTGTGCAAAAAGTACGACAATTCATTTTAAGCGGTTATGCAAAATTTCCATCGCAAATAAACTAGGTAGACACTTCTTAGGCAAAATTTGTACACAGAAGACCCTTCACGGATATTGGCAGAGGAACAGTGAGCAATGGCTGCGTGCTTATGAAGGGTGGTCATTTGATGTCAAAGGCAGCTGATGTTAGAATAAAAGCGTTCTGATAATCCTTGTATGATTTGAGCTTGGCATTTTCCTACTAATGCATTTAATACAACGCTGAAGGGATTTTACGCATAAATTGGCAAATTTGAAAGTACAAAATATACCTGTGGCGACATTTTCAAATCGCACGAAAAGTATACCGTGCCAGTAGATATACACAACATTCACTGGTTTTAATTCTAATTTTAGAAAACGCAAGTGCAAACAAAAAGGTAGCAGCTATTATTACTAGTATTATTTTATCATTAGTTGCAGTTTTGGTTGGCACGCTTTTCTGGAAACACTACTATGATGGGATATATTCTTTGCCGTTTACTGCAATGGGATTATTAAAAGATGGGCAGAAAAGAGGTTTACTAGTGTAGTATGAAATAAATGAGCATAGGTTCGTCCAATCATTGACCTTCTTTTGCTCACAACGCAAAAAAGCTTTACTGCGTTAACTGTTCACGCACAAAACTACTCTATGAAATGTTACACAAACACCGTATATGCACCAAAATGCTTGCTCTTTATTTTACCCTTTATTTGGATATATGATTTAAATGCCATCAAAATGTCTGTCCGTCAAAATTGAACAATTAAAGCAGGTATTAATGTATTAGGCGCAGACATTATTGTAGGCACTACTGTAGGCAAGTAAGTAAAAGAAATTCATTGTCAATGTGTAAATTAGCTAGCATTTTTAGTCCTCGCTTACTTTAACCGTGTTCTTAGACATGACCTGAAGGCTCCTTTTGCAGAAAGCAACATTCCTCTACTGACGTACACTGAACATAGGATGTGGTTGTAGACAGAATCTTTGCATCGGTTTATAGAATCATTTATAAACCGTGGTTGACCAAATATTAGGTATAATATAGTAGCCAATATGTTTGAGGTGATGGTTTCGACCCAGGAAATAGGTCACATTTAAAGAGTAAATATGATTTAAATAATGTATTACACGTAGGTTTTACTAACGTCATTTACCTTGCTAAGTGAATATATGGGTCAACATAATTTAGATAGACATGTAAAATGTATTGACTCAGCTGTAAATTATGCATAAACATTTTGAGGCTAGTCGAAGAATTTGATGGCTGTACTGCATATTGAAAAATAGAGAATCAGTCAATAATATCAATTGTAACTATTTGTTACTATGTCTAATAAGGTCATTTTCATTTATTGAGCTTTGACATGAAAACAGGAGAAACATTTTTGTTTCAAATTGATTTGTAGAGAAACAAACAATAATTTAGAGTGTACGAGGAGACTGACACGTTCTCTGGCACAGTTAACGAAGGCAGACAGAATTACTTCCGAATTTACTCTTCAGTGTTTTTTAATTCTACGCGATCGTTCTTCAAGTCATTGACAATACAGATTTTCATAGCCCTTAGCACAAGTCATTAGTACCAATTACGCAACCCATTCTAGCGACAATAAAAATGTTTGAATCTTTGAAATTATCGTGCAAAACTTGCAAAGCTTAGAGGTGGTGTCAATTATTTAGTTAAAAAGCCGTAGGTGAAATTGGGAATGGAAGGGCTTTCTGGTTACGGCTTGACGTTACAATTATACACATTCAGACAGATGAGGGCAAATCGCCAAACACTGTACAGACTCTCAAAGACTATCTCTGCCCTGAACCAGCGGCTCCTCAAACCACCACGAAAACATGTTAGCTTTTGATGACTCAAATGCCCATTTACATGTAGGTTGTGGTCTGGAAGGCTTGCCAGAGGATGCGTCCGTCAAAATAGTGGGCCAAGAGGAATGCAAGTTAAGAAGTTAAGATTCACATTTTTAAACTAGTCGATGACTTGTCCATTTGAATAGCAATCCAGTTTCTTACTTTTCATGATCTCGTTTGACAATAACACTTATAAGTGCACTGAAGGACGTGAATTCATCGCACGCCATCAAACAACAGTCAAATAACCTTATCACTTCTTTTCAAAACAATCATATATTCACGTCTGCACAAGGTGATATGTAAATTTGGCAGCAGATACGACCTTCGCGGCTTTGCGGTGATGAAATAAGAACGGTTGTTTCATTGCTGTTTTCAGAAATAAAAAAAAGTCAAGATTCCATATCAGATGACGGTTTAATTAGCGGACAATAAAAGAGAATAGTGTTAAATTCATTTATTCTTTGTAGTTGGACCATTCAGTAAATGAGCATTTATGACTAGCTAGGGCCATTTATTCCAAATGAATTTTAGTTTATGAAGACAAAACCGATAAATGTGAGAAGGGCTGATTACCATGTTGCTATTTGTTTCTTTTGCCAAAATTTGTTTGCTTGTACAAAACTTGATTTGTTATTCTTTAAACATCATTTTCATGTTAATTGTAACGAGCCATGTTGAACAAGCCGTGAAAAACCTACCAAAAGGGTTATATTGGTTCACAATTATTTTTAGTTGCCAAAATGTGTAGTGGTTTGTTTAACACTGCCTTACAACCCCAGAAGAAAGGGAAACAATAAGTGGTGAGCTGTTGTCATTGAGGCTGTCTACATGATAATTCATCTGGTCGTATCAGGCCATTGTCTACCTGTTCGCTGTTGCAACATAACAGATAGTTCCATTTCCTCCTCTTAACATTTCTGTAATATTATCGAAATGCATGTTAGAGGTTTGGAACAAGGTGGTTATGCTTATGTGTACCAGGAGAGCTTTAGTCTATATTTGGCTTGAATCGGATACATCAACCTTGATGTTCCCTACAATAACTCGTATATGCCAAGGGAGTTAAGAAAGAGACCTGTCAAATAGTTCAGTACCAAAAAGTAGGTTTCGACGACAGGCCTTGTTCAAGCTGATCAATCGTGCAAGAACATACATCATTTAACTTTACGCGGTTGTTTTTAGAAGGCATTGTTCTAAGCAGGTCGATGGAACGCCGGATAAATAGTTGGAGAACAGGAAGGCAGTCACTTAATGGCGAGAACGGGCTCCAGGTAGCATACACTAAACTCAAGTGCTAGGACAGCATGGGAGAAAGTTAATTGCTAAGATGTGTACCGAACAGAGGTCTACAGCAACAGGTGACTCATTGTTGACAGAGCGGAGAGTTGTGAAAAATCAACGCATAAAAAATAAAGTGGTTTCATCAAGTCAAAGTCACCAAATGTAGTTAATACTACTTGTATCCCTCGAATTAAAAGCCCATTACAACCCGAGAAGAGAGGAGAAAGAGGCGACAGAGAACACGACCGTTTGCTGCTGTTGTCACACCGGCCAAGTGGCTTTTTGTGCGTATGAGTGCGCTTGTTTAACAAACAAATGCTATTACAGGCCAATAACAAAAGGGATGAGTCGCTTGTGCGCTCTGGCCACACCCGTGTGAGGTTGTTTCCTGTCCTTTACAAATTTACGCAATGGAGCACATCTCAAGGAGCCAATACCAAATAGGGTGTCACTAGTATAGTCGGGCCAGCAAGCACGTCTAAAAAGATTAATCACAAATTCCATGCTGCTACTTTAAGTAACGGAAATTTGTTCTGGCATTATTTTATCCTTTTTTAAGAAAACAAACGTGGGCAGAAATTAGACCTATGTCTTCTTATCTTCTGCATCAAGTAATGACAACTAAACTTAACTCATAAAACGACACGCAAATAACCTCAACCGAAATGATGAAATTACAAGGATATGTGTAAATTTTCACTTTCCAGAAATTTATTGACTCCAATGTTCGGCTCGATAATTTTAGGCACACCAAAACCAAACTGCTCTTATTACATCACAAATGAAATCAATTTCACAAAGTACATCGTACCGAAGGTCTTTTGCAATTGGCATTTTGCTTTTTCTCTCGTCACTGCACATATGTTATAAGTTGAAACCTTATGAGCTAGATTGATCACACAAGCTGCAAAATGCTTAAAATTAAAATATTTTAATATTTCGAAGTGTTCGAAGTGTACTTTTTTGAGAAATACTATCTTCGCATTAAATGGTGAAGCCGCCATTTGGCTCTTGAAAAAGATTCCCTTTATAGGTACTCATTAGTCGAGAATTTTTGTTAAACATAGAGGCAAATACAACACAATTAATTCATTTTTAAACCAAAAGTAACACATTAGGAATGACAGGTTCAATTTTTAAAATAACGAAATGAGCATAGCAAAGTGTAGGATCCCAAAAGCTGAAAGCCTTGTAGAAGCCGAATTTTTCGATGATGGCTTAGTGCACTGCTTTCTGTCGCAAACGTATCCTTCGGGACACTTGCTGCAGCTAACTCCTTTCTCATATGGCAATGCCGATGAGTACTGCAAACTAAGTAAAGCAAAATGTAGCTATTAGTTCTGTTATAATGAGAATACTTCAAATTGATATAGGAGCATATTTTGTGCATTTGAATTTTCCGGCTCAGAGCTGTAAGGCGATAATTATAAAAGAGCAACAATTTATGAAATGTGCTAAAAATATTATTGCACGCTACATGTTTAATGACTAATAGTGTGTGCCTTACTGCAGCTGAATGAGAAAGTTAACTTACCCGGGTCTGTATAGACAAATTACACGATAGTAGTAGTCTTTACCATGTCCCACAAGACAGCGATGCTTGGCACAACCAACTTCGCTCGATTTGGCCCAAATCGCCTATTCAAAAGAAAGGATCAAATTTGCAGGGTAAATAAATTCGCACGACGTAATGGTTGACCATCGTTTCAACTTAGTTTTAATCTAATAAAGCAGCAGTATTGCATCGATCTTATGGAATATATGAATACAAATAAGGAATAACGTGCCTGCTTATAGAAATAGCACACTTTTTTACAGGAGTTTGCTTCGTAATCAAAATGTTGCTTTTGTTGCTTGAGTTCAGAAAGGCCCTCAAAAGTCGAGGATTGACTTATGTTAACAAGTTTAAAACCATGTCCAAGGCTTTTGTATTCTGGTTTTAGCGTTATATCGGGAAGCTGAAATGAGCAGGTTCTTGCCCAGTCGTCAGCCAACTTCTCTAGTTCGTTAGAGTAGCTCTGAAATTAAAATAAGTGACTTAGATGACAGTACCTGTAAAAAGAATTCACAACTCATTGGAAATAATATGTAAAAACAAGCTGAAAAAAGAAAACTAAAACTATTAGCGGCTCAATATCGACTCGAAATGCAAGGTAGCGTCGGTAAAATATATTAACTCACCAACATAAGCATATTGCTGGCAGGTGGATCAACTTCTTCTCGAAGCTCAGCGTGCAGTTTCAAGAGGTATTCACGTTCTTTCTCCGAAGGACCTTCCGCCAACACATTCCAGAACAGAACCGTAATGCAGACCAACCTGAGCATGTTTTCTACAATTGAAACAAGAACTGATAAATGTCCAAGATATGACACTTTATGGTAAGAGGCAAGGTATCTAGCCTACCTACGTGGATAATATACATGTGCAGTGTTAAATCGGTCGATTGTTTATATACTGTGTGGAGTTTCAGTGGGTGGATACGATGGCGAATTGTAAAAGGAACCAGTCGGTGACAAGAAAGCACTTCCTTGACGAGTTGCGAGTTGCATTGGTGACAATCGAAGACTAACGCCAATAGGTTGTTTGACTACTAGTCAAAATGAATACAACTCTTAAACATGTAACGCCTGATGGTGGTCTTAATCGCTGGTTGCATCAAGAAGTCCTTTTGGCAAAAAAACAACCCTACAGATATCGAGTACAGGCAATTCAATTCATGGTGTGATTTTAAAATGTAGTTATTGTAATGAACATCCGAGCAATTCCTTAAAACTCAACGCTATTACAACGAAGTAGTGACCATACTTTGTGTCTGTTTACCGTTCTCACAGTTTTAAATAAGACCTACGGGCCTTTAAAAACGTTACAGTTGAGTCTGTAATTATTAATACCCACAGAGATTACTTTGCCAAATTTGGCTGTCAACAACGCCTCTGGATGCTTAAATTACGAAAAGTGATATAATGTACCATTAGCATCATCTTTTCGTAGGTTGATCATATGAATTACGGCCTGAAGTATCAAATTTCGTGGGTATATCCATGAAATTCGCATTTAGCACCGGGAAGCCTGCCGTAATACATCATTTATAACATGTTAAATTATATTTAGACATATAAATACAAACCCGTAAACATCATAAAAAGCAAAATTATACAGTGTCGGTGAAAATATGCTTTTTGATTACAAAGAGTAATAAAAGAGCACTGAATTGCAATGTTTGTGGTTGATGACATGCAACCTGATTTACCTTTCAGTGAATAAAGTAAACGTAATTGGGTTCATTCTAGGTTAAATAATGAGAATTTTTACAAAATGTTACGGTTATACAAGAAACCTAGTAGCCTGATTTTAACGTATAAATCTTTCGGGGTTTTGCACTCATTTTAATAACCAGTTTCTATATTTTTTAAATAGACTGCGCACAATTCCAACCATTGTTGCCTATACTCATTTTTTATCGGGCACGTTACCAGTTGCCACAGCAACATAATTCATTTAGCGATTTCTGAATACTTGCGACTGGCCTTAGCGCAGAAATAAATTTCGAATAGGTTTCTGGAGCTTAACTTGCATCCCTGGCATGTTAATTTTAGTCCCACATATCAAACCTTGGTAATCATCATGCACGTTGCCCATTGACTTCTCGTGCTGGAGTTGGCAGATAGTTAAATAGCAATCTTGGAAGCGAACGCTATGCTCATTATGTCCACACATTAATAAATTGCTTGAGAATATTGCCTCATTAAGAGATATCACCTTTCAATGCGTCTGACAGTAAATTTGCATTGAGCTTTTAACCAGTTAAACAGCTTGCTGCATCTGCATAATTTTGGCAAATTAAATAAGTTAGGTGGTATATCAAAAGCAGTGATGCACAGTTAACACACAATTTAAAGAATCATGTCGAAATGACAAATGCTTTTTTAAACTAACACATTTGCGAGAGTTAGAATAATGCCATATCTTTGTAAATTCTTTCTAATAATAATGGAGACAGGCGTAAACATTTGGAGAAACGCAAATTTGACAAGCAAAAGCTGATAAATATAAAATGACTCAATCATAGTACATATTTCTTTAATTCACTCAAGGTGTTGATGGGCCAAGCATCGTTTACCACCACGTATTATCTTATTACAAATAGCATTTTCGGGCAAATTCGAATTACTAGTTTCATCCCCATTGAAATTGCTAGGACATGTAGAGAGGCGGTCGACTTTCTGAATAAGCGTCAAATGGAAGGTAATATGTGGTTTAAGACGCTAAGCATCGTGTAATATTATTTCAAAGATTCTCACCTTATGGCACTATTAGTGTGTTGCTATGTGAAGGTATATAGTGTTCGTCAATGAGTTAAATAAGGAATCGCTAAGAAAGTAGTGCCACAACACTCGAGTTCAATGCTGTGTAATAGTTTTTTTAATATTAATTGCTACGTTGAGGCATTTAATTTCCTAGTTTAAATTAAAATTTGGTATCTAGGAAACACGATACAGCTGCACACGTTGACGTGGTAGAGTAGGTTTCAATGCTTAGTCCTAATTTGGCACTACATGAGCATTCATCGTTGGTCTCTTGATCGACTAATTTGCGTGCATTAAAATTGCCAATCGTTTGAAACGGGCAAATTTAATGATGTAGTCATGCCTAATAAACATTGTTTACAACATAAACATTTCTACTTGATAATCAAATATACCTATTGGAGGTGATTGAAATATTTTAAAGCATTCTGTAGTTCTAAGGTATCATTGAGATACTAATTGCGATTACAACAATTTATGATGTAGACGTATTCAAGCTGAACTATTAAATGTTATTTTTTTTTAGTAGGAAACCAACGTAGAGACCTAATATATTTCACTGACATACTACGAAGATCATGATTTTTGGGAGCTTGAGTGCACCAGCAAACAACTAATGGATTGGAGGCTGTTCCCTTTACAATATTAGTACCTTTGCAGCTTATTCGAATTGCTAGCAAATTGCCATGATTAACTATAACAAATTGTATGAGCTCTCCCTTACACACAATGAACTTATACAAAACATCACGAATTTTGGAATACTGTGTGCTCACAAATCGAAGTAGAATAGTTTATAGATTAGCAAAGCAATGGTGCCAAATGTGATGTCGAACATAAACGATCGACACTTGCGCTGACTTTTAATAATGGGTACAAATGGCAATTCCGTGTTTCTCTTGCTAGATTTAGTTAAGACGTTTAACTGAATTTCAGCCAAACCTGCCTGTTATTCCTAGGACGGTTATGCGAAGTGGTTTTTAGATGGTTCGGGGTGTTGCGATAGCCCTTTGAGTTAAAGGAAAGTAGTTTAGCAGTTCTAGCTCGTTATACCTAAAGCATCATTCAGGAACGAGTTTGTCTTTGCTGAATTGTCTGTTTTGTTAAGGCCGAGGTACGTATATTTAGGTCAGTCAACCCCGACAAGAATGTTTTCACGACAAACACGAATTCAACCAGTTTTGCTCAGTTATACTCGTGCGTAAGTCCATGTTGATGGTGTCAAATAACCTTTGCAACCACCCTATGATAAACACTTTAAGGTGGTAGGTGTCGAAAAATTTCCACAAATGACAATTGTGGAGCTCTACATAATTTGAGGGTAGATACGTGCCTGCTTATTGTCACCTCTCTTGTCCTTTTTAACGAGCTGTTAACTAGAGGGTTGTACGATAGTGCTAGCTAAGTGAAGCTGCTAAAATGTTTCAAATTTTTGGACGTTCGTAGATGGTGTCCACAATGACTTGCATGACAGTTTCTATCACAGGTTGAGGATATGAAACAAGTCCACATGAATGGAAGACTGACCTAACCTTGGTCACCTTGGTCACCGAATGTAGACAAGTACTTGCATGATATGTTTACACCAGCGGACACTTTCAGCTTGTAAATTCCAAATAAACAAAAATTTAAACTTATTTCAATGGTATATGAACTAGCAAAATCGTCACAACTTAGTTGTATCCGTCTGCGATCTTGAACATCGATTGGTTTTTCAGTTTAGAGCATAGGTGTAGTAATTTTGTACTACAGCAAAATGTCTCAACAACTCTGATATTGAATGCTATAACATAGGTCAACTTAGATTCTGTGAACTTGTAGTGGACAGACACGTCGCGTGAGTGATGCGTGCATGAGGGCCCATGTGTACTAATGACTCACCCCTTTGGTTATTGGCCTCTGTCAGCATTCGACTGCTGCGCACGCGTACTCATGCGCTTACAAAGCCACTTGGCTGGTTTGACACTAAAAAACTGTCGTGTGCTGTGTCGCTTCCTTTGCCTATCTTCTCGAGTTGTCTTGGGCTGTTAACTAGAGGGTTGTATGGTAGTGCTAAATCTCTAGCCACTGCAAGCTTAAGCTCATTCTTTTGTTGCACATTCAAAGCATTTGAAAAGGTGCATTTAGCTAGACAACGCGGAATGCAAAATATTAGTTATGCCGAATTATAATTGACTCAAAAAATAAACTGCGGAACGTATCCAATGCATTCGAAATTTCTCAGAAGCCAAAAGCATTTTGTCTGTTATTAGAGGTATTCAGAAGGAAACCCAAGGCCACTATTTCGAACCAGTTTAAATTTCTTTACTTTTCCTGCATAACATGGCTTTTTACAACCAGGTAACTAAGCCACCTTCGATGAAAAAATAGCATTCTAAAAGAGTAGCAACTTGAGTCATCCGTGTGTCTTAATGCCCCCCATTGTGCCATCTTCGAGTTTGTTGGGTCAGTAGTGATTAATGTTTGTGTGACAAGATTTGAATTTCGGTCATAATTTGCGTAATATAGGTTCACCTAATTTACTAACTAAAAAGAGTGCATGTACTACAGAATCTAAAATGACGATCTAGGGCATGAAGATGCTGTCGCATACAGGAATCTGTGAAGCTAAGAGTGCTTTCAATAAAGTCCCCGATAAGAAGGCCTTGCTTTACACTATGAAGAGTCCATTAAAGTAATGATTTTTTTATGGAATGTATAGTATAGAGTTGCTTTGTGTCAAATTGCTAAGGACAAGGACGATCCTACTGTCCAAAGTCGAAACATTGTAACCATCTCCTGTTAGGGAAAATCCTATTGACAGTAACACAAAAGATAAGCATGCACTTAAGACCCAACTTAGGACATTTGACGTAAGCAATTGAAAACTAAATGCAAATCTAAACAGAATTTATAATACGCTGGCTTAGGTCACTGAGGTAAACTGGAGAAAGTCGTTTTCTAATTCTATATTAGAATATTTAGAAGAAAAAGAACTAGTTTTTTCTTGGAAATGGGAAGAAAGAAAATTCGACGTTTTCCAGAACAAACGTCCTAAACACGCTTATCCCGTGTCGCTTACAACGCCTTGAAAACATATCCTTTTAAGGAACATTTAATTAAATGCCTTAATCAA